AATGCTCATTGGCTTTGGGGTCGGTCAGACCCCAGCGATCCCTACAACAAGGGGAACACCCAATAAACCAGGGAAGCAGGACTCAGTTTGGGTTCAGTCTTCCCAGAAGTTGTGCTCGAGCTGCATCGTACTTCTCTGGTCATTGTGATTTAGCATAATTTGATTTTTAACAGCGTGACCGCGCTTGGCAATCGTGATGTTTGGACAGGATTTGTGTCGCGGTGCGAGAGGGAGCGACTGCTCAGTAGCTGAGCACAACGGAATTTTAAATATTAACTTTGGACGCTGCGTAAGACGGACAAAACAGCCGGTCTTGGTGTGACCGGCTTAAACCGTCTTCCACTGTCCTGAGGCTCAGTGGTCGGTTGGAGCACTCGCCTCCCAAGCGAAAGACCTGGGTTCGATTCCCCGGCGGGGTGAAAGTTTGGGCGTCTCGAAGACGTGATAAGGCACTGTATCAAATGCAAGTATTATTATTACACTGCTGTTAATGCAAATTTCAGACAAAGGCCAGTGAGGCGAGAAAGTGTGGGCATCATGTGGGCTGCTCAGCGTGCTGTTATAGTCGGGCCAGCGGGAGCCTGTGTAATATTTATTTTTAAAATTTTGGTTTCAGCTCGGTCTGACTAAGATTAAATTCCAGATACCCTAGTCCAGTAAGCCAGGGGTGTACTGTATATAAGATTTTGAGTGGGATTGAAAAAGTAAACCCAGAACAATATTTTCAGATGCACTGAGATGGAACAAGAGGACACAGGTTTAAGATTAGAAAGAGCAATTTCAAGACAGATACCAAGTACATCATTACCCAGAGGGCAATTAATGACTGGAAATATGAGACCAGGACTAATTCAAGAAACATCTTGATGTTGTGATGGGTGATCAGTAGGGTGGGTACTCTGGAATTGGCTTTTGCATCCAAACTGATCTTGTGATTTCTTGCAATGTTGTGCAGGATACAAGTATGAGGAAGGAAAAAATTCCCCACTTACTGCCTTTCGAAATCGAAACCTCTTAACACAATCGTAATCACGAGTACACAAAGAGAACACCTATGGTTTGTTTGTTGTAGATGTAACTTTACTGTTTAACCTTTGGATACTTTAAGATTATTTACAGCTATACATTTTTAGAGCTCCTTTTGGTGCCTTATTTTGTGTTTTACGGTTTTGTTATTTTCTGGTGTGATTTAATTTCAAATTTTGATTTATTGGAAATAAATGTGAAATGGAAGATAACCCCAAGTGAGAGTTGTAAACTAGAGAAGAGAGAGATGCAGTAAATAAAGGGGTTGGGCATGTACAACATGCCATTAGCTTGGAGGAGGGACTGCAGTCAGGGCACTTCAATTGATATCAGAAATGCCACCAAGGTTCTTGTTTGAATCATTCCACCACTATTTTTTTTTGTCGGAAAATGTGAATCAGGTTCAGCTTGTCATGCTCTTCACAGTCGACTAGTCTCAAATGTGATTTTCTACACTTGTTCATTTTCTCCTCTGCCGGAGGTGGTGATTTCTGTTGAAGCATCATTCTGTAGCCACTGATAATCTGAGGTATCCCAAAGTGATCATTCTTCCTGTTTAAGACTGGACGGTGAATATGGGCTGGTTATTTGCCGATTGGTATGGCAGTTGAGCTCTTGCTTTCTCTTTTATTGAACATTCGGTGAGCAAGGTTCAGGGGCATGGAAATTTGTTGTACATTAATGCAATGTCCACATTGTCTCTCTGCCCTATCACAGATGTTGCTATTTTTGTTGCAGTTAAACCATGGGTTCACTTGATGAATCAGAGAATGAGATCATGTTGGATTCCAGTCCAACAGACATGGACAGCGTTGAGTTCAAAATATTGATGGCCTATGCAAAACGGACTTTGCCGTTAGATAAAGTCTCGCAGTTAAACGCTGCGGACAAAGAGATCGTTCTGAATGGAGCATTTGGTGAAACTGAAGAAATGGTCAATGATTCGGGGAAGAGAGAGAAAAACGGAAAAGACAAAACCCGCTCAGAAAACCATGCTCGTAAATCCAAACGCAAGAAGAAATCTGGATGGAGACGGTGTATCCCGCAGTGTTTACGAGCAGAGGCAAATGAATATGCCTCCCCTGTTGCACAGGTGCAGGAGGAGAGTGGAGGGGATGCTATGCCATTATCGTCTTATCCAGACATCATTTACGAGCGACCACAAGAACATGGTACTGTATGTGTTTTATGCATGTAAAATAGCTGATAATCTTTTTCAGCTTTAATTGTAAATCATTTTCCTTTCATCAACAAGTTCTCGGTCCTCATCGTGAAACAAAAGAGACTAGGGTCTTAGCAGCCGAAATGCACATTTTATGGTCCAGCATATTTGGAGCACTTTGTTAACGCACTCCTAAACTCTTAACTCTTTAAACTCTTAAATACCATTTAACAAGGTAAATGACTTTTGGTAAATCGGAGATTCCCCCCCCACCCACTTTAGCTCCACATTTTGGGAGTTTCCCTGTGTGTCTCTTTTTCCAGTTAAATTGGTGGCAGGCATCCAAGTAGCAACTGCAAGAAACAGTAATTCTTGTTCTGATAAGTTGTGCGTACATCTTTCTATTTTCACATCTGTGATTGGTTTATAATGAAAGCGCTGACATATCTCTCCTGGGATTAGTTTTTTGGTGTGACATTTGATATTGGCACACAGTCTCCACAGTAGGAAGTGTTCCATTTACCAGCTATATATGTCTTGCATTGATAAACGGTCAAGGAGCAAAGAAGAAAGAAACCCTCAAATGGAGTAATATTTTTGGTAGAATTGTCCCATTTTAAACTCCAGGTGTAAGATTTCTGCCAATGCACCTTTGTCTCAAGTTTTAATTGCAACACAGTCCAAGATGATCTTTGCCTTTCTATACGTACGCTACCTTGTCTGCATAGGTATCTGTAGTCACCTGTATTTTATATTTTAAAACTATTGTATATATCACTGCTCTGGTATTAATGTGAAGTTCCACACCAGTGATATGAATGGCGAGTGGAATTCACCACTCCAGTTTCAATACTATGGCCTCTTCATGGTGTGAAGGCAGGAGCAGATTTCTAAAGCAGGCTTGCTCTCATTTACAGTAAACCAGGGAGTAACCAAAACATGTAAAGTAACTATGAAGTATGTAAAAAGGCCCAGTAGTTATTCTGATTTCTTGCAAGGCTCTGTTTTACTATTAAAGAGTCATGTATCCGTTGTGAAGCAAATGATTTCATTTAATTTTACCAAGGTATTATTAATAAAACTACATAATATCATGGGTAATAGGTAAGTGTTTGGGGAGTGGTCCCATTACACCGTGTAATAAATGTGACATAGTTTACATTGAAGTGCTGTCTTTACATTGAGGAAAAAGCCATTCAATCATCAGAACGTGGCATTAAGATAAGCAATGTGTGACTGTATTGATCAAAAATCTGTCCTGTGCCGTTTAAACTAGAAAACATGTGAAGTCTCGTCTGTAGGGATTGGGGCTACCATCGGCATGACTGACAGACAGTAGGTAAAAGATAATAGGAATTCCAGTATGTGTTGTGGTGGAGAAACCTTTCACGATATTGATCTGATATATAGTTCCTTTAATTATACCATGTATTTTGGAGGAGGAATTGCCCACCCGCTATGGAATAAGCATTTATTTGCGTTAATAAAAGCAGAATCTGTTCAATTTGTAACCTTAACTTCTAATTTTTTCGTTTCAGAAGTTGAACCTCAGTTTAATGAAATTGCAGAAGTGTTGCAAGAGATCATTGATTCTAAGTTGACAGGGTTTAAATTCAGACTGCTTCGTTCTACTAGTTTAGAAGTGGATTCAGAAGGTAAGTAGGCATTCAACAACACCATTTTATTAAAAAAAAATTAAAATCTCTTTAAAACCTTTCGTCACTCTTTAACCCAGAAATGAAATGACTTCTTGCTTTACAGATGAAGAACAGAGAGCTGTTGATCAGATTGTGAAGATCTTAACCACCTCGGGAGATAATTTAAATGAAGAAGTAATTCCATTAAATTCTTTCTACACCAGTTTCTAAATGCCGGCAATTCAGATGAGCTTGTTTCTTTGTGCTTAAATAATCTTTTTTTTATTATTATTTCCTCCTAGATGAAAAATGACCCCCAGTTTTCCAAAATCTTTGGTAAAATTCCATCTATTTCACTTTTCAAAAAAGTCATGGATTGTGTAATCCAAGTTGCTTTGCCTGAAGAAACAAGCTCTGAGGCAGCGAGCAAAGAGAATGGAAAGCTGAATCAGATTGCTTTTGTGATGCATGCGACAACTAAGTTTGCGGCTCTTGGGAACCATCCCATGGCTCGTGTTATGGGTTTTGGAGCCAAGTATTTACAGGAAAACTACTGCACCTGGATCACGGAGCAGGGAGGATGGGTACGTTTGCTCTGTTACAGATTTTTCTCTAATCTTTAAACCTTAATCCAAAGAGCGGGACCTTCTTTAGTCAGTCTAATTTTCTGGTTATCAGGTGCTATCTTTCAAATGCATGGCTGCTTCTGTTAGTAGTGAAAATGCTTCATTCTTTTTGCTTTTTACACCCGCACTAAACTCCACATGTCCATTATCCCAGTCCTCACTCTGTTCCACAGTCTCCCTGCTGATCGATTTCAAGGTGCTTTCCCTTGCCTATAAATGCCTTTACAACCAAGCATCTCCCTCTCTATCTCTCTGATCTTCTCCAACTCCACTCTGCTTGCCCACTTCTCTTCACTAATATGGCTGCTTGTATTTCCACACCCCCTCCGCCCCCCGAATTCTCTGTGCCACCATCAGTAGCCGAGCCTGCAGGTTTTCGCCCCTAACCTCAGGAACACAACCATGCCTATCATTATCTGGCACTTTCATTTTACCCTTTTACTTCCCCTGGTCAATATCTCACCCCCATCGTTGTAAAATTGCACCAAGACATTATTCTAAGGTTGATCACCTACTCTAGTGCTAAAGAGAATATATATTTTTAAAAAGATTTTATTATTTTTAAAAAGACTTCATGAGATAGCTGGCCTCCCAATTGGAACTGCTTTCATGATCTTTTTGAGAGGTTGTATGCAAATATGTGTTGGTTAAGTGGCTTCACTCTCAACACCTGCTCTGTGGCTTCTCACTAAAACCAAAGAACAGGGCCCTGGAACCCGAAAATAAAGTGGAGGAATGAAATTCCACATGGGTGGAGTAAACCAGTTTGCACAAGTCTCTGATAGAGCTTCTTGTGTTTTATTGGTATTTTGCTGGCATCCTCCTTATTCAAAAGGTGCTCTATCAAATTCAAGTATTATTTCTTATCATTATTGCTATACCAATGTATTGCACCACCAGTCTGAATCACTTTATAAATATCACTTGTAAGAGTTCAACCACTTTCTAGACAGTCAAACCACTCCCCACAGACAGAGAGGAGTCTATAACTCACTCTTCTTAGAAGTAGGGCAGATATTTCTGGTATTTAATTTTACACAAAATCTTAAATTGCCATCTTGTGCAAGGATTTGGCTGAAACTGAGTCCCACTCCCACAACCACCAATGTGTGAAATTATATTCGTAAACACATATTGCACCGCTATACAACACTCGTTTGTGTTTTATCTTTTCCCTTCCTTTGATGCTCCAGAATTATTTCTTTGCCTTTGTTCATAAATTCATTTCTACATTTTTTGAGAAATAACAATTTACTGTACTTTTTTGTCTGTCACTTTCTTCCCAATTAACCACTTTCTTTGAACCTCTCCAGCAAAAGATAATGGAAGAGGAGCTTACAGACTGAGAGGCTGGGTGATGTGCAGTCGTAACATCAAGCCAGGACCTTGACTCGCACTTTGAAAGACTTTCCTTTTGAGCCAACCAGCACTGTCACAGATTTAAACCCTTGGGCTTCCTCATTGACAAGTTCACCTGCAGAGCCTGGAATTTCAACTGGAATGGGAAATCCACAGAAACTGAGATTTTTCAGGAGTGTTTAAACTCTAACTCTTAATCAGCTTGATTTCAGTTGTTTCTGATCCAGGAAAAGCAGACACAGAAGTTTCAATCGACACACCCTTCTTGAATCTAATAAAGTCTTCAGGATAATCTTTTTCTTGTTATGTGTGATGCTGGTTGGCATTGGATGGTGCAGGAAGAGGAAATGAGAAGAAATGTGTTGACCATCTAGATTTTAGATCTAGTTTGTACTGATCAGATTCAGAAGTTGTATTTTGGGGCATTTTGTGATCCTAAAGATTGCTTTTCATTTGAATCCATTCTATAAACTGGACATTCAGGAGATTTCCCTTTGGAAAATTGTAACACTAAACAAGTGTGAGATCAAGGATATTTTTAAGAACAGGTTATACCAGAATATTTCCAAAGTAACATTAGAAGTTCCCTTAAATTCCAAAAAGTCCCTTGATTGCTACATGAAATTCAAGGGAAATTTTCCAGAAAATGATTCAACTTTTTTAAAAAACACAGGGGAAATGTAGAAAAAAGCAGCCAAAAAGCCCAGGTTCCTAAATTGTGAGTGCCTTGAATAAAACCTTGCCATTTTAAAATGTTGTTATTATGAACACAGAAAGTATAATGTCTCACTAAGAATATCATCCAATTTGTCACATCACACACCATATAAGAAACCTTATAATAATAATATTGGTTAAAAACACATTGGGTTGCATTGAATTGTATCCAGGTTTACAGTGAATGAGAATATAATTAATTTTACATGGTAGCAAATAAACCCCTCAAAGTGATATTCAAGTCTTCAAATCAATGTTTTTGTTTTACACATGACATAAAATATTAAAATTAAAGGAATGTAGATACTCTGGCTCAATAAAAATACACTCCGTCAAACCTGTGTGTCTTGCTTTTTTTGGGTGGTTCCGGTTGCAAATATTATCAATTAAAGCAATTATGAGTTAGGAAAGGTCGGTGCAGCAAGGTTACTTTGCACATAGTTGCCACCAGGTGGAGACTGAATGCCAACTTTTTTTTAAAAATCCTTGCATTTTGAATAGTGCCTTTTATGTCAGGAGGAGTCACAGGATATATGTAAAGTGGAATGATGTGGAATTTGTAGATGAAAAAATGTTTTACATGGTATTTAAATCAACTTTCTATATGGGATTTAAGGACTTGCTGATAGGAAACACAAAGTTAAGGGAAATGGGTTTGTTAAGTTGCTTGTTTCTACCTCTGCTGCTATTAATTATTAGGTTGAGTGTCACTCAGCATTTTGAATAAAAAAAACAGCTTGTTGCTTTGATGGGAGGTGAATATTCTGGAAGGGCTGAAGTGCCTTCTTCATCCAAACTAATCTTATGATCTTTTGAGCAGTGTTCTGGAGCATTCTTTATGCTATAAAACATGCATTCACTGTGGTTTGCTTCCAGTATTCTCCAGAGTGAAATTCATAAGACTCCTGTCACCATTTTTAACCTCTAACAGTAACAAGTTCTTGGCAGGCGGCAAGTTTGCCAACCTCATTGTCTACTAGCCAAAGCTGGCATACTGAAGTCCTACCGGCTTCTCTTGGCACCGAGTCGTGGCAACAGTTATCCATGGATCCAGAGGATGTGAAAAGCGTGGACAGTAATGGTGGTGGTGAAGAAAGAAGTGAAAACAATTCTTCCAATTCTGATATTGTACATGTGGAGAAAGAAGAGATTATTGAAGCTGTTGAAGAGAGCCAGGAAATGGAGCTAACAGTTCCAGTAACTACAGCAGCCAAGGAAGCAGAATCTCTTCCTGTTATACAAACTGCATCAATGGAGAATAAGCCTTCAGCTGAAGCACAGGAAGTGGCTGAAAGTGCTCCTTTTTCTACCCCTGCCCCCCCAGCCACCTCTGTAAAACAGGAAAAAACCGAACATGAAATGTCCGGCAAACCAAGTGAATTGCTTCAATCATCCTTCCCACTGGAAATACAAAAACAACTGGAGGAATTCAAGAAAAGTGATAGGGAAGAACATGTGCCAGAAGAAACTAAGCCTGAAGGGGAGATTGGAACAGAGGAAAAGGTTGAAAAGGCTCACCTGACGAAGCTAGAAGCTACGGAAGAGACTTTTCCTCCCGAAGGAGAAAACGAGGACAAATCTATTTTGTTTTATGGTGGAGCTGCCGTTGTAATGTTAGTTGTAGCAGTTGGGGTGGCTCTTGCTTTGAGAAAAAAATAATTTAAGTAAATGAACAGTTCATCATTCAGAAAAGTAATTGGGAAGACCTTTCTATTCTACAATTGATTTGTTTTGTGACAGGAATCAAGCCTGTTTATTAAGTTGCATAGCAGAACATGCAATGAGTGAAGAAAATACAGTTAATGAGGGCAGATAATGAATACAAATGCATGAAAATTTTGTAATGCTAACATACTGAGAGAATATAAACTTAGTTTGTGATACAAAATAAATCGTGGAATACAGGAAGTGTCCTATACAAATCTGTATGCAATAGAATCTCTGGGAATAAACTGGTGGTATAATCCAAAATACCATTTACTATTGAAACAAAAAAAAGCTATAAAAAAAAGCCTTTGAAACTAAGTCTATGATATGGAAGAGAACTTTGTTAAATGTTCCTTTCTAGGCAAATTGGTGTCAGGTTTTAGTTAATTGGGGGGCATATTTTTATCTGTATACTGTTTTTTTTCTTTCTGTTCTTTTGATTCTTATTGCTATAACATTACTCTTCTGTTTTTAAATTGTTGAATATTCTTTAGTCACTCATGTGAAGACTAGTTCACTTAGTTGTTTTGTCTATTCTGTGCTGAATTTTGTTCTCCCCTGCTTTCATCTTCCTTGCTTTTTTTTTTGGCTTCATAGAGAAAAGATGTGTGTTTACTGGTGAGAAGTGAGAACTTCATTAGCACGGTGTGCCTATGCGTTAGTGACATTTAATGTAGCTGTGGATAGCTACTACTACTGCTGGCGTTATTAAGAAACCGGATTTGATGTGCCATTTCTCACAAGGCAGTTAACATCAATTGTATTTAGTTAAACACGGTTGTAGTAGAACTTCTGAAATTCACATATTCCCAATTTAGACAGCACAGTCGATTTCAATAGTATCTAAAAGTTGGTTTTTTAAGCCCATGCTTTGCAATTTGTACTGAATTTCATAAATGAGTTAAAGACAATAAAATGTAGACTGTTTTGGGGTGTTTATTTTCAGAAAAAACTTCCATCATTATATATTCAGTTAGTCTGTTCAAATGGTTTATAATCTCCACAAGATCCTATTTTTAAAACAAATCAATTTCTTAGGTGGTTCATTTTACTTCTGAAATAAAATGTTGTATTACAGTATCTAGAAATTAGCTAGAAGTTTGAGCAGTTTTAGTACAAGTATAAATTTGAAAATATAGAATTGATTGTAACTTAAGAATTATTACATTATAAAATGCACTCTGATTTAGAGGATGTAATAATCTGCAAGAGACTAAGAAAAAAATCCAGGAGAGAATAAAAATAACAAGATGCAGTGAATTTCATGGTATGCTTGACAACACTCTCTGTGATCTTTAAATACAGTAACAGTAGTTTTTTACAATATGCTGGATTTCTTTATTTTTGTTTGTTTAAGAAAGGAAATAATTGACATAATGGTATCCATCAAACTAAAGATGTTTTATACATAGTGATGGATTTTATCATCTGGATTGCTTTTAAATAGCAATTGTGGGTGCTTCAAAGCTTAATAAGGTTTCAGCAATGGAAATCCATATTTATCACTTGTTGAAACTTGGTGGTTAATGGAGTTGCATTAAGCTGTGGGACATTGACTTTCCTGTTATTCGGATCATTTTCTCCCAGGTCCATTTGTGATCCCAACTACTAGTCACATTTGTGAGACTTGATCACAGTTGTCTCTGCCTATACTTTGCCATCAAATATACAACTGGCAAAATGTAGTTTCCAAACTTTTTGTTGTACCCATATGGAGTTCCTGTTTGTTAAGTAAAAATTAAGCATGTAATATTCTGCACTAGTGTCCCACAAATGACTTGTTTTTTAATCGTTTCTTACTGGATTTCATTGTAATATCACTTCATGCCAGCAGTTAGATCAATCCAAATAATGTTCCATCAACATTCTACTTCATATATAATGGGATTTAATCCACTTGGAAAGTAATAGGATATGGCCCTGACCTTTATTTTTGAGTTGAAACAAGGTCAAAAAGTTCCAGGTTTGAATCGAGTCAGTCTATGGCCTTTCCAGACTCCCAAGGAGCCAGGCTTAATAAACCATTCGATATGTCATCAATCGTCCAAGGCATTAATGATTACAGGCCTTTTTGACTCACCAACAATACTTGGAGGTACAGTGTAGTGATGGCTCAGCCATTGGTAGCCTTAGATGAAAAGTATATTGTATAATTGCCTTTTTTTCTATTTTTGGGGATACTTAGGCAGTCCATGGGTCGTATGATATTGGTGGAACCTACTGTACTGGTTGCTGTTCACCAACATTAAAAAGTTAACTAGTATTCAGTGGTACTCAGCAGAGCTTTGTTCGTGTTTATAAGTATACATTTGCTTCATATAAATTCACTGCTTCACTTCAACGGAGCCAGCGATACCATTCTTGTGCTGGTAGCTTGTGTGTCTATACTGGTTACTAATTTCATACAGTCCCTTCAAAAGCACATTTTTATAAAATATATACTTCCAATCCAAAGCATGGAAATACTGTAGTAAGGTTTGGCATTGGTCAGATCAGTGAAATTTTATAATTTAGCTCCCATTTTAGAGATTTCAAAATCCAAGATAAATCATTCCTGGTGGGAGGTGAAATAGTTAAAAAGGATTTTGCAGGATAACACCCTATAATGAATGGCCTTATCTTCATTCAAAGAAAAAGCACACCTCCCTATTTTAAAACTGAAATATGTAAAACAGCATTAGGTGGATTTGCTCTTTAACGTTACCACTTGCTTGATGGAGGCAATACTGTTATGAAGCGTGTCACTCAATGCTCATTGGCTTTGGGGTCGGTCAGACCCCAGCGATCCCTACAACAAGGGGAACACCCAATAAACCAGGGAAGCAGGACTCAGTTTGGGTTCAGTCTTCCCAGAAGTTGTGCTCGAGCTGCATCGTACTTCTCTGGTCATTGTGATTTAGCATAATTTGATTTTTAACAGCGTGACCGCGCTTGGCAATCGTGATGTTTGGACAGGATTTGTGTCGCGGTGCGAGAGGGAGCGACTGCTCAGTAGCTGAGCACAACGGAATTTTAAATATTAACTTTGGACGCTGCGTAAGACGGACAAAACAGCCGGTCTTGGTGTGACCGGCTTAAACCGTCTTCCACTGTCCTGAGGCTCAGTGGTCGGTTGGAGCACTCGCCTCCCAAGCGAAAGACCTGGGTTCGATTCCCCGGCGGGGTGAAAGTTTGGGCGTCTCGAAGACGTGATAAGGCACTGTATCAAATGCAAGTATTATTATTACACTGCTGTTAATGCAAATTTCAGACAAAGGCCAGTGAGGCGAGAAAGTGTGGGCATCATGTGGGCTGCTCAGCGTGCTGTTATAGTCGGGCCAGCGGGAGCCTGTGTAATATTTATTTTTAAAATTTTGGTTTCCAGCTCGGTCTGACTAAGATTAAATTCCAGATACCCTAAGTCCAGTAAGCCAGGGGTGTACTGTATATAAGATTTTGAGTGGGATTGAAAAAGTAAACCCAGAACAATATTTTCAGATGCACTGAGATGGAACAAGAGGACACAGGTTTAAGATTAGAAAGAGCAATTTCAAGACAGATACCAAGTACATCATTACCCAGAGGGCAATTAATGACTGGAAATATGAGACCAGGACTAATTCAAGAAACATCTTGATGTTGTGATGGGTGATCAGTAGGGTGGGTACTCTGGAATTGGCTTTTGCATCCAAACTGATCTTGTGATTTCTTGCAATGTTGTGCAGGATACAAGTATGAGGAAGGAAAAAATTCCCCACTTACTGCCTTTCGAAATCGAAACCTCTTAACACAATCGTAATCACGAGTACACAAAGAGAACACCTATGGTTTGTTTGTTGTAGATGTAACTTTACTGTTTAACCTTTGGATACTTTAAGATTATTTACAGCTATACATTTTTAGAGCTCCTTTTGGTGCCTTATTTTGTGTTTTACGGTTTTGTTATTTTCTGGTGTGATTTAATTTCAAATTTTGATTTATTGGAAATAAATGTGAAATGGAAGATAACCCCAAGTGAGAGTTGTAAACTAGAGAAGAGAGAGATGCAGTAAATAAAGGGGTTGGGCATGTACAACATGCCATTAGCTTGGAGGAGGGACTGCAGTCAGGGCACTTCAATTGATATCAGAAATGCCACCAAGGTTCTTGTTTGAATCATTCCACCACTATTTTTTTTTGTCGGAAAATGTGAATCAGGTTCAGCTTGTCATGCTCTTCACAGTCAACTAGTCTCAAATGTGATTTTCTACACTTGTTCATTTTCTCCTCTGCCGGAGGTGGTGATTTCTGTTGAAGCATCATTCTGTAGCCACTGATAATCTGAGGTATCCCAAAGTGATCATTCTTCCTGTTTAAGACTGGACGGTGAATATGGGCTGGTTATTTGCCGATTGGTATGGCAGTTGAGCTCTTGCTTTCTCTTTTATTGAACATTCGGTGAGCAAGGTTCAGGGGCATGGAAATTTGTTGTACATTAATGCAATGTCCACATTGTCTCTCTGCCCTATCACAGATGTTGCTATTTTTGTTGCAGTTAAACCATGGGTTCACTTGATGAATCAGAGAATGAGATCATGTTGGATTCCAGTCCAACAGACATGGACAGCGTTGAGTTCAAAATATTGATGGCCTATGCAAAACGGACTTTGCCGTTAGATAAAGTCTCGCAGTTAAACGCTGCGGACAAAGAGATCGTTCTGAATGGAGCATTTGGTGAAACTGAAGAAATGGTCAATGATTCGGGGAAGAGAGAGAAAAACGGAAAAGACAAAACCCGCTCAGAAAACCATGCTCGTAAATCCAAACGCAAGAAGAAATCTGGATGGAGACGGTGTATCCCGCAGTGTTTACGAGCAGAGGCAAATGAATATGCCTCCCCTGTTGCACAGGTGCAGGAGGAGAGTGGAGGGGATGCTATGCCATTATCGTCTTATCCAGACATCATTTACGAGCGACCACAAGAACATGGTACTGTATGTGTTTTATGCATGTAAAATAGCTGATAATCTTTTTCAGCTTTAATTGTAAATCATTTTCCTTTCATCAACAAGTTCTCGGTCCTCATCGTGAAACAAAAGAGACTAGGGTCTTAGCAGCCGAAATGCACATTTTATGGTCCAGCATATTTGGAGCACTTTGTTAACGCACTCCCTAAACTCTTAACTCTTTAAACTCTTAAATACCATTTAACAAGGTAAATGACTTTTGGTAAATCGGAGATTCCCCCCCCCACCCACTTTAGCTCCACATTTTGGGAGTTTCCCTGTGTGTCTCTTTTTCCAGTTAAATTGGTGGCAGGCATCCAAGTAGCAACTGCAAGAAACAGTAATTCTTGTTCTGATAAGTTGTGCGTACATCTTTCTATTTTCACATCTGTGATTGGTTTATAATGAAAGCGCTGACATATCTCCTCCTGGGATTAGTTTTTTGGTGTGACATTTGATATTGGCACACAGTCTCCACAGTAGGAAGTGTTCCATTTACCAGCTAATATATGTCTTGCATTGATAAACGGTCAAGGAGCAAAGAAGAAAGAAACCCTCAAATGGAGTAATATTTTTGGTAGAATTGTCCCATTTTAAACTCCAGGTGTAAGATTTCTGCCAATGCACCTTTGTCTCAAGTTTTAATTGCAACACAGTCCAAGATGATCTTTGCCTTTCTATACGTACGCTACCTTGTCTGCATAGGTATCTGTAGTCACCTGTATTTTATATTTTAAAACTATTGTATATATCACTGCTCTGGTATTAATGTGAAGTTCCACACCAGTGATATGAATGGCGAGTGGAATTCACCACTCCAGTTTCAATACTATGGCCTCTTCATGGTGTGAAGGCAGGAGCAGATTTCTAAAGCAGGCTTGCTCTCATTTACAGTAAACCGGGAGTAACCAAAACATGTAAAGTAACTATGAAGTATGTAAAAAGGCCCAGTAGTTATTCTGATTTCTTGCAAGGCTCTGTTTTACTATTAAAGAGTCATGTATCCGTTGTGAAGCAAATGATTTCATTTAATTTTACCAAGGTATTATTAATAAAACTACATAATATCATGGGTAATAGGTAAGTGTTTGGGGAGTGGTCCCATTACACCGTGTAATAAATGTGACATAGTTTACATTGAAGTGCTGTCTTTACATTGAGGAAAAAGCCATTCAATCATCAGAACGTGGCATTAAGATAAGCAATGTGTGACTGTATTGATCAAAAATCTGTCCTGTGCCGTTTAAACTAGAAAACATGTGAAGTCTCGTCTGTAGGGATTGGGGCTACCATCGGCATGACTGACAGACAGTAGGTAAAAGATAATAGGAATTCCAGTATGTGTTGTGGTGGAGAAACCTTTCACGATATTGATCTGATATATAGTTCCTTTAATTATACCATGTATTTTGGAGGAGGAATTGCCCACCCGCTATGGAATAAGCATTTATTTGCGTTAATAAAAGCAGGATCTGTTCAATTTGTAACCTTAACTTCTAATTTTTCTCGTTTCAGAAGTTGAACCTCAGTTTAATGAAATTGCAGAAGTGTTGCAAGAGATCATTGATTCTAAGTTGACAGGGTTTAAATTCAGACTGCTTCGTTCTACTAGTTTAGAAGTGGATTCAGAAGGTAAGTAGGCATTCAACAACACCATTTTATTAAAAAAAAATTAAAATCTCTTTAAAACCTTTCGTCACTCTTTAACCCAGAAATGAAATGACTTCTTGCTTTACAGATGAAGAACAGAGAGCTGTTGATCAGATTGTGAAGATCTTAACCACCTCGGGAGATAATTTAAATGAAGAAGTAATTCCATTAAATTCTTTCTACACCAGTTTCTAAATGCCGGCAATTCAGATGAGCTTGTTTCTTTGTGCTTAAATAATCTTTTTTTTATTATTATTTCCTCCTAGATGAAAAATGACCCCCAGTTTTCCAAAATCTTTGGTAAAATTCCATCTATTTCACTTTTCAAAAAAGTCATGGATTGTGTAATCCAAGTTGCTTTGCCTGAAGAAACAAGCTCTGAGGCAGCGAGCAAAGAGAATGGAAAGCTGAATCAGATTGCTTTTGTGATGCATGCGACAACTAAGTTTGCGGCTCTTGGGAACCATCCCATGGCTCGTGTTATGGGTTTTGGAGCCAAGTATTTACAGGAAAACTACTGCACCTGGATCACGGAGCAGGGAGGATGGGTACGTTTGCTCTGTTACAGATTTTTCTCTAATCTTTAAACCTTAATCCAAAGAGCGGGACCTTCTTTAGTCAGTCTAATTTTCTGGTTATCAGGTGCTATCTTTCAAATGCATGGCTGCTTCTGTTAGTAGTGAAAATGCTTCATTCTTTTTGCTTTTTACACCCGCACTAAACTCCACATGTCCATTATCCCAGTCCTCACTCTGTTCCACAGTCTCCCTGCTGATCGATTTCAAGGTGCTTTCCCTTGCCTATAAATGCCTTTACAACCAAGCATCTCCCTCTCTATCTCTCTGATCTTCTCCAACTCCACTCTGCTTGCCCACTTCTCTTCACTAATATGGCTGCTTGTATTTCCACACCCCCCTCCGCCCCCCCGAATTCTCTGTGCCACCATCAGTAGCCGAGCCTGCAGGTTTTCGCCCCTAACCTCAGGAACACAACCATGCCTATCATTATCTGGCACTTTCATTTTACCCTTTTACTTCCCCTGGTCAATATCTCACCCCCATCGTTGTAAAATTGCACCAAGACATTATTCTAAGGTTGATCACCTACTCTAGTGCTAAAGAGAATATATATTTTTAAAAAGATTTTATTATTTTTAAAAAGACTTCATGAGATAGCTGGCCTCCCAATTGGAACTGCTTTCATGATCTTTTTGAGAGGTTGTATGCAAATATGTGTTGGTTAAGTGGCTTCACTCTCAACACCTGCTCTGTGGCTTCTCACTAAAACCAAAGAACAGGGCCCTGGAACCCGAAAATAAAGTGGAGGAATGAAATTCCACATGGGTGGAGTAAACCAGTTTGCACAAGTCTCTGATAGAGCTTCTTGTGTTTTATTGGTATTTTGCTGGCATCCTCCTTATTCAAAAGGTGCTCTATCAAATTCAAGTATTATTTCTTATCATTATTGCTATACCAATGTATTGCACCACCAGTCTGAATCACTTTATAAATATCACTTGTAAGAGTTCAACCACTTTCTAGACAGTCAAACCACTCCCCACAGACAGAGAGGAGTCTATAACTCACTCTTCTTAGAAGTAGGGCAGATATTTCTGGTATTTAATTTTACACAAAATCTTAAATTGCCATCTTGTGCAAGGATTTGGCTGAAACTGAGTCCCACTCCCACAACCACCAATGTGTGAAATTATATTCGTAAACACATATTGCACCGCTATACAACACTCGTTTGTGTTTTATCTTTTCCCTTCCTTTGATGCTCCAGAATTATTTCTTTGCCTTTGTTCATAAATTCATTTCTACATTTTTTGAGAAATAACAATTTACTGTACTTTTTTGTCTGTCACTTTCTTCCCAATTAACCACTTTCTTTGAACCTCTCCAGCAAAAGATAATGGAAGAGGAGCTTACAGACTGAGAGGCTGGGTGATGTGCAGTCGTAACATCAAGCCAGGACCTTGACTCGCACTTTGAAAGACTTTCCTTTTGAGCCAACCAGCACTGTCACAGATTTAAACCCTTGGGCTTCCTCATTGACAAGTTCACCTGCAGAGCCTGGAATTTCAACTGGAATGGGAAATCCACAGAAACTGAGATTTTTCAGGAGTGTTTAAACTCTAACTCTTAATCAGCTTGATTTCAGTTGTTTCTGATCCAGGAAAAGCAGACACAGAAGTTTCAATCGACACACCCTTCTTGAATCTAATAAAGTCTTCAGGATAATCTTTTTCTTGTTATGTGTGATGCTGGTTGGCATTGGATGGTGCAGGAAGAGGAAATGAGAAGAAATGTGTTGACCATCTAGATTTTAGATCTAGTTTGTACTGATCAGATTCAGAAGTTGTATTTTGGGGCATTTTGTGATCCTAAAGATTGCTTTTCATTTGAATCCATTCTATAAACTGGACATTCAGGAGATTTCCCTTTGGAAAATTGTAACACTAAACAAGTGTGAGATCAAGGATATTTTTAAGAACAGGTTATACCAGAATATTTCCAAAGTAACATTAGAAGTTCCCTTAAATTCCAAAATGTCCCTTGATTGCTACATGAAATTCAAGGGAAATTTTCCAGAAAATGATTCAACTTTTTTAAAAAACACAGGGGAAATGTAGAAAAAAGCAGCCAAAAAGCCCAGGTTCCTAAATTGTGAGTGCCTTGAATAAAACCTTGCCATTTTAAAATGTTGTTATTATGAACACAGAAAGTATAATGTCTCACTAAGAATATCATCCAATTTGTCACATCACACACCATATAAGAAACCTTATAATAATAATATTGGTTAAAAACACATTGGGTTGCATTGAATTGTATCCAGGTTTACAGTGAATGAGAATATAATTAATTTTACATGGTAGCAAATAAACCCCTCAAAGTGATATTCAAGTCTTCAAATCAATGTTTTTGTTTTACACATGACATAAAATATTAAAATTAAAGGAATGTAGATACTCTGGCTCAATAAAAATACACTCCGTCAAACCTGTGTGTCTTGCTTTTTTTGGGTGGTTCCGGTTGCAAATATTATCAATTAAAGCAATTATTATGAGTTAGGAAAGGTCGGTGCAGCAAGGCTACTTTGCACATAGTTGCCACCAGGTGGAGACTGAATGCCAACTTTTTTTTTAAAAATCCTTGCATTTTGAATAGTGCCTTTTATGTCAGGAGGAGTCATCAGGATATACTGTAAAGTGGAATGATGTGGAATTTGTAGATGAAAAAATGTTTTACATGGTATTTAAATCAACTTTCTATATGGGATTTAAGGACTTGCTGATAGGAAACACAAAGTTAAGGGAAATGGGTTTGTTAAGTTGCTTGTTTCTACCTCTGCTGCTATTAATTATTAGGTTGAGTGTCACTCAGCATTTTGAATAAAAAAAACAGCTTGTTGCTTTGATGGGAGGTGAATATTCTGGAAGGGCTGAAGTGCCTTCTTCATCCAAACTTATCTTATGATCTTTTGAGCAGTGTTCTGGAGCATTCTTTCTGCTATAAAACATGCATTCACTGGTTTGCTTCCAGTATTCTCCAGAGTGAAATTCATAAGACTCCTGTCACCATTTTTTTTACTAACCCCCAAAATAATTTTAGTGCATGATTTACACTTTCTAGTTTTTAACAAAGTTGAGTTCAATAAATAATGTTAAATCCAAACCATATTGCTGTAACATTCAGATATATATTGTAAAATACAGGTATAAGTTGTAAAATATTTGAGTGTTTCTTAAATTTAAAAAAATCATATTTTATTTCCTATTTTGGAAATAAAAAGTATAAATTATAAAATACCCAGTTCTTTTAACTGAAATCTAATGTTTCTAACTTCTTCCTTAGCTCAATTGTTTGCTTATTCCAATTCCTTGTATTTTCTGAAATAATAATACTAATGGTTTGATAAAATACCTAGTGAACAAAAAATCAACCTCCCTCAAAAAGTAGCTATTTTAATAAGCTCAAATATATTAAGAAAAGTAATATCCATTCATATGTAATGTGGCCGTGTTATTGATCTGGGTGACCCGTCACTGGAAACCATTTAGAAATTAGAGTGAGTTAAACTAATAATATCATAATAATAATCCTTACATTTGATATAGTACCTTTCATGTTGAGAGGATGTCAAAGCAGTTCACAGGATTCACTGTAAAATGGAGCGAGTGTTTATTTTGAGGGCAAATGTGTTTTTGTTTCTATTGAATCAAATGCTCCTTTTCCTGTGGTTTCCTTTAATTTCTCGTGTTCTGATCCTTTGCAAAAGAGGACCTGTGCACAGCCTTTTTCAACCATTAATTCCATATCAAAATATTTTTCATCTTTCATCCCACTAGTTTTGTATCACAACTGCCCTTCGTGCAGCTCTAAAATGGAACTCCTTCCTTTTTCCTTTGAGTTTTTGGAGTTCAGTTAACTCTTTCATAAATGTGTTTATACATTTTGTTCATTCCCCCATCCCCATTCGTTTCCTTTGGGTGGTGGCTCATTTTGCGCTAAAGTTGCCTAAGTACAGGTAGTAATGCAGTTTCTTACCCAAATGGTCATTCTTTAAGTGTGAGCTTAAATATTGGCCATTAACAGGCTCACACTCAAACCTGAGCATATGCTCCCGGTATCTGCACACAAGCACATGTTTCAGCTATGGTCACTACATTATGATCAGGAGCGAGAGAACCCTTACTGATAATAATCCTTGCACTTGATACAGCGTCTTATCAAGTCTTTGAGACGTCTAAAAGTGCTTCACAGAATATACTGTAAAGTGAATTGACTATATTTTGTGGGTGAAACCCGTCAGCCATTTTGCCNTTTTTTTCCCCTTTGCCCAAAGCCCAGGGTTATTGAGGTCAACAGTCGACCCCTTCGTCCTGCTCTGGGTAAAACAGGCTAATGTCAAGATCAAACCTAGAATCTATCTGATCTGTATGGTTCTGTACCACATTGCATTGATTCTCTGAGCCATTGGAGGTGCTCTTTATTCCATTTTATTTTTGTTCCATTTTATATGGGATATGATGATAATACCATTAGCTTCGTAAGGTCATCCCAATGATAACTGAGAAATTGGTTCATGGCTGCCACTGTGTAGGATTTTTAGAGAGAGGAGACTTTTATCTTGTCAGTTGTAGCCCAATGCAAATTTGGATTCTAAAGTAACAGGCCAGTGTTGTATCTCACTGTTTTTCAATTTTTTTGACTTGGAGGCCCCAGGAACATATCATCTTGAGGATACCTTGTACCTTCAATACATTTTAAAATTGCTGAATGTCTAATGCACCTACACACACCTTTTTCTATAATTGCAAGATCGCGTGATAAAATTCTTTGCATACTTAAAATTAATATAAAAGTTCTAATTATTTTGATAAGTGAAGATGAATTGATAATAGCTACTCTGTAAAGAATGCGAGGGACATGTCACCCCATTGAAAGATAAGGATTTCTTTCGAGGAATGTCAAATTGATTTATCAAGTTACGTTGTACGATTGTACTAGGAGATAATTCCCTGTTAGCAGCTATGCATTGTACTGAGCTGTCAGTGTTGGTACTTCACCTTGCTGAAGTATGTAATGAAAAGGGTTTTAACACTTTGATTGCAATCTCATCCTGGTTGGGCTTGTGAAGAGACAATTCCAAAAGCATGCAGAACAATAATTGTATTTTTACAGTGCCTTATCGCAATAATTATATTAATTATTGTCAAGATTGGTCACTTTTTTTGGGTTGCATTGTGCTGGGCAGACACAGTTCCATAGTAGAGCTCTGCAGAATTGGAAATAGGCTTCTAAAGTCTTCAAATATTGTTTGTTTTCACAAAGCAGCTTTCTTGACAGATCCAGTCCAAATGACTTGATCATTCATTTCATCCTTTTTTTATGGGACTTTACAGTTTAGTTGCAATAGTTCTCCTCAGAATAACATTCACCCCATTTCTGATCAATTATATTTTGTAAAGAGCTATATTAATTTTTATATGAAAGGTGCTACATACTGCAAATGCAAGTTGTTGTTTTCCCATTAGAGCCTTTGATTCAAGACCTTCATGTGACTGAAGCACCGTGATGTGTTTCCTAGTTTCAGCAATGAATAATGGATTGCTTTCATTTTGTTCACAGGTTCTTCTCCCAGCCAACACCTTGTGGACCACATCAATTGCAGCGGTAAAAGCCACAGCCTCACAAATTATGTGGAGTTTCTTTACATGAGGGCTGCAACAAATTGGATACAAAAATATATGAAAATTATTGTTGCAAAACTCACTGAGCTGATATGTTACAATACAATTTACATTTATATAGTGTCAGGGGGATATCTTGAAGCACTCCACACCACTGTTGTGGGGGGTTGGGGGGCTGTGGGAGCTGAAAAGGCAGGAGAAGGGAAAAAATACTAAAAGCACAGCCAAAGAGTTAAGTCTTGAAGAGGGCTTTGAAAGTGGGGTGGCATATTCAGGAAAGGAGAGAAAAAGCCTACATTTTGTACATCACAGCAGAATGCCTGCTACAATGGAGTGACACTAGCACAAGAGATCAATGTTCTTCATGCTAAAATTGTAGATGTGTGGAGGGAAACTATGACATGTACAGTACAATAATGCTTTGATATTAAAAAACTGAATTCTGGAAATTTGAAAAGGGACACAAAACTAAAAAAAACCTTTGATACAACTGCGTACAGTGAACATGAAAGCATGACATGTCACTCATATGTAGTTTCAAGCTATCTGCTTTTTGGCCATATTTTTCCCCTTTCCTCTCCTAAAGACACAGCTCTATGGGTGCCATGGCTCTACGGATACTAGTACCTCATTTAATTTGTCATACTTCATGTGAGTGAGTATTCAATGATGGAATGTACCAGAGCTGAGTGCAATCTTGTCCTCGTCTGATGTCAACACGTGTGCGCTTTTAGCATGAGTCTCTGCTGCTACTGTAATGTTCAGGAGCAAGAAATCAGGCTGATTTGCTTGCTTCTCCCTAGCCTAGAAACCATAAGGCCACTTGGAACTCAGCTACGTAAGTCAGACTGTGAATCAAACCGGGAATAGTACTGCATGATGCTACACTAGGCATGATCTTTAACTACGAAAACATCAGCAAGCGAGAGACCTGAGTTCAATTCCTGGGCAGGGTGAAATGTTGGGCATGTTTCCTTACACCACACATCTATGTTTACCTAGCAGTACGGAGGAACCCGGTTGTTAGTCAATTAGCAGCTTGCTTTTATAGGCGTAATAACGCCTTAAAAAAATAACAAATTGGTCACTTCAACCCATGACTGTGCTCTGGAATGCTACTCTGCATGAGGGGTGCTATATAAATAGAAGTTGTTTGTGTTTTTTGTGGGACACTGTTGTGCGCAATTTGCTGCCGTGTTTCGCCCACAAGATATACAGTCAATTCACTTTACAGTATATTCTTTGAAGCGCTTTGAGACGTCTTGAAGATGTGATAAGGCATTATATCAAATGCAAGGATTATTATTATTATCATCAGGTGTTATGGTTCACTAGGCAGGATCTTTATCCACAAAAATGTCAGGGGAGCCTAGGATCATCTTTCTTATCAACTGCATAATTTCCACCCTTTAGAGAAGGGCATTGTTTTTGTAACTTTTCTTATGTTTATGAAGAGGAAGGAAGATGAACATAACCTAACAACAAGATATGAAAGAACATTCAGAAAAGATGCAGCACTCCAAAGTCAGGAAATATACCAGATGAAAACTATTATTTTGTTAAAAGTGGTAAAGAAGATAATAACTTTAATAATAACTGGCAAGATTTATAAATTCCTAAGATGTTTTCCAGAGTTACCTATCGCCATTCTCAAGAGGAAGGCGTGATCCTTAGCAATACAAGAACATCCTTTGGTATTAGCAGCTCAGTCTTACAGGTTAAACAAAGGTGGGTGATAGATCCAGTACACAAGTGGTTTGGTTGGTGCTCACTTCAGTTTGCACCACATTGTTTGCACATAAATGTGATAATAAAATGTATTTTGTTGTAATAAAATGAATAAGTATGCTTGCAGTTGTATTCAAAATGATCAATTTGAATCTAGCCTGAATGAAATAGCTTCTCCTGTTGCTCAATATGAAGTGCCTGTGGATTGGCGAGCCCAGTAGCAGGCTTCTCCAACTTCTGCTGATACAACACATGGCTCATCAGCAGGACTTGTTAGAGACAGACCAACTACTAGGGGGAAGGAAATCATCCCACTCAGCTCCTATTAACCATGCAAGCCAAAGTTCTAACAGGTAGGATGGTCCTAGCTGGATAAACAGTAGGGAAGCTTATCTACTCCAATCTGTTGTGCCACAGATACAATGCAAAACAGTTTACATTTATATAGCGCCTTTCGCATTGGAGGATGGAGTCCTCGTGGAGTCCTGTAGCTCAGTGGTTAGAGCACTCGCTTTGCAAGCGAGAGACCTGAGTTCAATTCCAGGCAGGGCAAAACCTTGGGCAAGTTTCCTTACTCCACACGCCTAATAATAATCCCTCCAAAACCCAAAACAATAATAAATTGGTCATTTTCAATCTACGACTGTTTGTGGGACATTGCTGTGCGCAATTGGCTGCCGCGTTCGCCCACAAATATACAGTCAATTCACTTTACAGTGTGATCTGTGAAGCGCTTTGGGACGTCCTCCCGACGTGAAAAGCGCTATATCAAATGCAAGGATTATTATTATTATTATTATGATATATTGCCTTTCACTTTGGGCGATATCTGAAAATGTGCCACAGGAATTTTGTGCTAAGTGATTTGTGTATTTTGTAGATGAATGCAACAGTCAATATGTACATGTCAATATCTCACAAACAGCCATGAAGTGAATGATCACTTTTATCTGGAGGATTGTTGGCTAGTATATTGGGAGAAACTTCCTTCTCTCTTTGAATAGTGCCATGAGATCTACAAACGTCCACCTGAGGAGTCAGACTGGACTTCAATTTAATGTCTCATTCAAAGCACGGCACTCCAAGCATTGCATTGGAGTGTCAGTAAGGATTATGTAGGTTTAAAGTTTTGACATGGTGCTTGAACCCACAACCTGCTGACATTAGTTGGTGCTTCATAGCAGTCAAACGAGAGAGTGATTGATAAAGGAGTAGCGGCCCACCCACCTTTCCCCCAAACCTAATGATGACTCTACTTTCCACTGCATACTGTGCTTGAGCAATATGTAAGATGTTATACATTCGAAATATGCAATGACTTCATAAAATATGTGCGTGTACCTTAACCATCCAAAACCAATAAGACTTTTTTTAAAAAAAGTATTTTGACATTAAGCACCAAAAACTAAACACAAGTCTACATTTAAAAAAAAGTTAACAACTTGTTTAATTTTTGATGCCCATAATTATGATTCCTGGCAATGCTTCAGGATTGTGCACTGAACTCACTGCACCACCCAGACCCCATTCCTATAGCTGTTATATGAAAAAACACAGAAACCAGTTTCTCTACATCGCAGGATATTCTTTGAAAAGCTTAGGGCCCATTGAAAGAAATATAAATTGTTTGATTCAGACTCATATCAATGGAATAAACAGTGTGTGTGATAGAGATAGAAAATCAGAACAACACTCTGTTCAGAAATGTGATTGGCAACTTCCCAATAAACACACCCAAACCTCCAGCACAATGGTTTGAATGCCAGCAGGAGACCCATAACTAATGCCGTGCACTTGCATCTCCAGCACACGTTCATAACTTGAGCAGAATACCTTTATCTACCTATATCTCCCACAAAATACAGTCAATTCACCTCACAGTATATTCTGTAAAGCGCATTGAGACAACTCGCAGACATGATAAGGCACTATATCAAATGCAAGGATTATTATTATTATCTAATGCAGTACACTGTGTCAGCTTGGCTCACTCTCGCCTGTGAGTTGGAAGGGTGGGGGTTCAAATCCCACGTTGGGACTTGAACTCAAGTAGTCTAAGGTGACACTCCGATGCAATGTGTTGCATTGTCTTTCGGATGAGACATTAAACCGAGGTCCTGTCTGCCTGTTCAGTTGGACGGTAACGATCCCATGGCACTATTCAAAAAGAGAAGGGACTTCTCCCGGTGTCCTGGCCAACAATCTCCCAAGTAAAATTGGTCATTCGTTTCATGGCTGTTTGGGGGAACGCTGCTGTGTGCGAATTGGCTGCCGCGTTTCGCCCACAAAATACACAGCGAGTCCACTTAGCAGCAATTCCATGTGAAGCGCTTTGAGACGTCCTTCCGATGTGACAAGGGGCCTTACCAAATACAAGGGTTATGGTGACACTGACACCTCCGGCAGAACGCACACGCCTCCTGGAGCAATCTCAAGTCACACCTCCAGCCTCTCGGGAGAGGGAGCAGTTCTGAGGTCAGTGGAGTTGCTGAGCAAGATCCTGGGATGTGTGTGTGTCTTCCTGGTGTTTCCCCACACGAGATCAGCAAAGCTCTGTGTGTAATGGTAATGAGTTGCCACCTCAGCTCTCTGGGACTATTTGTTTCCAGGTTTCTAGGAGACTAACGTCAGGGTTGGTACAGGGTAACTGTTCCAGACGAGCTCTCAGATTTTGTGTTGCAAGTTCTGGTGACAGTCGATCCCCAAAGGTATGCGTTTGGGTTTTTTCTTCTAAAGTAGACGTGATGGACGTTTAGTTGGCGAGAGAGAGAGAGAGAGAGAGAGAGAGATGTGGAGAAGGTGTTAAAAAAACAAATGACAGGGCGCAGACTGTTGGCTGGTGGTGTGGGTCTGAACGCTCTGCTCTGTCTGCTCTATGTTTCCGCTCTCATTAGGAGCAGAGGACGGGGCAGAGTTGCTGAGCGGATGTTGGAAGTGATCTGACACCAAAACTATGTGTTTCAGTGGAATAAACAGGAGAAAGAACTGAGGCTGAGAAGTCTGTGTGACGGGCAACAGCCCCCCACCACCCCCCACCCACCACCCCCCACCCCCAGGGTCGAGAACAGTTACACAGCTCACCCCCCACCAGGGGAAGGTTGGTGCACAAGTCGAATCTCAAACAGTGTTTGCCAGACAGAAGTCAGCACTTTGTGTTCAGCTGTCGACTTCTTGTGACCAATTCATAGAATCGTGGTATTATACAGCGCAGAAGGAGGCCATTCGGGCCCCGCCGTGTCGGTGGCGGCCGCTTTTCCAATTCAGTCCCACCGTCAGGGAGGTGGCGGGAGAGGAAGGAGCGAAGCTGAGAAAGCAGCAATTTGTTCCCGGTCCTCGGAGAGGAAGGGAGGTAGGAAATGGGGCGGTGGTTTGGGAGTAGAGATGGGTCTGGAGAGGTTTTTTTTTGAAGGATAGGAGTGATGACGGCGATTCTTAATGGGGTGGGAACAGTCTCAGAGGACAGGGAGAGGTTTATGATGTCAGTGAGTAGAGGGGCAAGGAGGTGGAGCTGGGAAGTGAGGCGAGGGGTAGGGGTCGAGGGAGCAGGCGGTCGGTTTCATTTGGGTTATAATGGTGATGTTGGTGATGTATATATAATGTAATGGTGATGAGAGAGTAGGGGAAGCTACTGTTCCAAATATATTACATCTGAATACTGCCGTAGTATGTTTTTACAATATGAAGTTACACTGTGTCTTTTGAACAACAAGATCACTCTCTCGCTGTTTTTTGTATATTTGTAAAATAGTAATAATCATCTTTGTGTGTTACGTATCAGGGGAACTTCTCAAAGCGCTTCACAGGATTGACTAGGCATTTTGTAGCCACAGAACTTCTATGAACTGTGCACTAAAATGAAGTTACATTTTTGTAACGGCTGTAACGTTAAAACATCTCAAAGAACTTTACGGTAACTCTTGTCAGGGATTGACATTTTTAGGTAAACACCCAGCAGAGGCAAACAGTGGTACCAATTGAGAAAAGCTTAGAGTAAAGTAAATTCTAAATTGGGTCATCCAACTGCTTGCAACAAAATGAGTTTTGGTTTATGAACACTGTTGCAGAGTTAAATGTGGAGCTGCCAGTGACGTGTAGTTGTTTTAATTACAGGTTAAGCATTACCAGGGAGAAATGATATGCATAATCCAATCAATTGAAAGGTTCAGATTGTGAGAGTCAAACTCCAAAAGAGTGTGCAAATGTGGCCTGAACTTTGAAGTTAGATTGCACCATTGAATTGGTTCTAAAATGTACATTGTTTTGCTTTCAAGGTTAATGTATCAAAGTTTGCTGCTCACTTTGGCTGTTGAAGTGTCCAAAGTATTGAAAGAAAGGATCTTGACACAGTGCATTTGTTTAAATTGATTGTGTGGTCACAAACTGACAATCCTGAAATTTAACCAATACAGCATAATTGCCCACCAAAGTTATTGAAAGTTAACTTTGAGTTATCTTCTAAGAAATTCTTTAACTTATGTGTCCTGACCTCTTTTATTCAAATCCTGAGCATTATATTATTGTTTTAATAATAATAAATAATAATCCTTGCATTTGATATAGCGCTTTTCGCGTCTTCTAGACGTCCCAAAGCGCTTCACAGAATATACTGTAAAGTGAATTGACTGTATATTTGTGGGCGAACATGGCAGCCAATTGTGCACAGCAATATCCCACAAACAGTCATGGATTGAAAATGACCAATTTTATTATTGTTTTTGTTTTGAAGGGATAATTATTAGGAGTGTGGAGTAAGGAAACTTGCCCAAGGTTTCGCACTGCCTGGAATTGAACTCAGGTCTCTCACTTGCAAAGCGAGTGCTATAACCACTGAGCTACAGGACTCTGTAAATTGTAAAATAAATAAATAAATTGTACTTATTTTATCAGTCTCTAAAAAGATGAACAGATCCACTGAGATGTGAACCCAACGCCATGTGAATCCAAAACCTTTTAGTGCCAAGACTAGTGTTTGACTTTTGAGCCATCAGTGATGTTGTTACAATGTAGACATTTGATGAAGAATTTGCTGGGAAAAAATCTAGAATTTTACTAGTAAGGCAGTACTGTAGATTCTTCACTATATGTGTGATGTTTGTTAATTCAAGTTATAATATTCAAACTTTCTCATTTATAAATGTCCAGAACAGGATTCCTACTGCTGATACACCGAGGAATCCAAGACCACCTGTTACTCTGAACTAGTTCACAGTGACTAATAATTGAATGTGTGAGAATATATAAATCGTTATGATTGTCTGTCGGAGTGGATTATTCCTGTGCCTTTTCTGGACAATCCTTGCAAACTGCGAGAGTCTATCACGCAAGCCCATATGCTCTTTTTCCAACCTTAATGGGTTCGTAATTGACATCAAAACCAGCCTGGCGAAAGGATTGAAGAGTTCTGAGCCTGTGCACACAAAGAACATTAAGGAATGCCACTCTAAGTGCTGCTCTGGCCTGAAAACAATAGGTAAGAATGAATTGTTGGAACTTGTCAGTCCTAATTTGAATTTGTTGAATTGAAGGTCTACTGATGCCCTGGTTGCACAATTGTAAAATGCACTTGGAACTTTGCATCTGTTTGTGGGCAAAATATCAAGTTTTAACTGCAGATGATAAACATTTTCAAAATGTTGTTCATAAAACTACATTTTGCAGCAGGATGCTTTTTTTGGTGGCTTTTTTATTCTTTTTTTTATTGGACACTTACACTGTGTTTTTTTGACGATTGCTGTTACTCATCCTTACTGTCATGTCTCCTTCTCCATTCCACGTCTTGCCTTTATATATATTGCCTTCGCTCCGCTAATAATAATAATAAAAAGCCGAAAGGTGAAACAGAAGCTCTCATAATATCAGCACAAGACCAATCTATTACTATCCGTTGTTATGAAAATAAGATCTTAAAGAGAAACATTGATTCAAATTGCCAGATATGTCATCAAGCACCAGAAACAGTAGACCATATATTGTCACCATGTCCAGGCCAAACACAATCAGAGAATTTGATTCAACATAGCAATGTAGCTAACTATATTCACTGGACAATTTGTAAATACTTTGATATTGGTGTAAAGATCAACGGGTATAAATATCAACCAGCAAAAGTAACATTGAAAAATAACATCATAATAATTTTGCACTCTCAAATACATTCAGATCAAATAGTAATCCGTAACAAACCAGATATTATCATAAAGAACCAAATATTTTGTACATGTATTATTGATGTGGCCTATTTTATCACTTATTTTGTACATGTATTATTGATATTATCCCAAGTGATTGCAACATAAGAAATAAGGAACTGGAGAAGATCAGGAAACTTATTGATCTACAAATTGAATGCTGATGTATGTGGCATAAAACAAACACAGTTCCTATAATCATCAGTGCAACTATACTTTGTGTATCGAATGTAATTTGTTTTTGTACTATCTTTCTGGGGGAGGAGGTAAGCTTGGGTGCTGCGTATTATTTTAACTGATTCACGTTGCAGTTGACAGCGCCAGCAATAACTGACAGGAATGAAACCAAAGTGGGTCTGTTTCTTCAGGATGAGGAGGGGAGCAGGGTAAAAGCCTAGTACATATTCTAATGGAATGGGATCATTATCTGTCAATGTAGTGAGAGAAGACTATTGAGACTTATGCCAATCCTGAAATTAATGAAGGTCTTTAGTTACTCCATTACTAGTGACACTTTCAGGGTTTCAGAAAAGGAGACGCTTGGATAAGTAGATTAAAACTTAGCTCTTTGTCAGAATCTCTGATGGAAAGTTAAACCACAGTAAATTTAATTCATGACATCCTCAGTTCATTCAGTATTTTAGCACAAGTCTTATTTGTTGAGCCTTCTTTTTAATGGGCATGACCACAATTTTTGTTCAATTGAGCAACAAGACTGATAAATTAAACCTAACCTTGTGTTGATTTTTTGAAGGAGGAAAACCTTGCAACTTCATGACGTTCAAAACCACAAATACATCTTCAGATCCTAATTGCTACCTTTTCTACTGTCCCAGCAAAGATGCTTGCCAACTGAAGGATTTAAAAGGATATATAAGCCACGCCATTCAAAGAGGTAATATTTTTAAAACCATTACAGTGATATAGATAATCCCTGCATTTGAAATAGTATCTTATCACAAAGTTGAAATGTCTCAAAGTGCTTCATAGGATGTAAAGCGTAATCACTGTGTATCTGTTGGGAACATGGCAGCCAATTTGGGCACAACAGTGTCTCACAAACAGCCATGAAGTGAAGGACACATTTTATCTGAAGCATTGTTGGCTAGACGTTGGGAGAAACACCATCCTCTTTATGAATAATCCCGTTGGGTCTTTAACCTCCACCTGAACAGATCTCAGTTTAACATCACATCTGAAGGACAGAAGTTGAAAGAACCCATTGAAGTGTATGAGATAGAATATAAAAGGATATTCTTCAAACTATGGAGCCCAGATGGACCGCAGTGGCCTTTTGTAGTTAAAAAATTATCTAACTTCAACTGAAAAATTGTATCCATTACTGAAATCTTATATCTGATTAATGATGTTTGTTTTGCTCTTACACAAAAATCAAGAGTAAATGATAGATGTCCTGGCATTTGTACTCATTACTCAATGAAAGGAAAGGTTGTGTGAACATATTATTCCCAAATCCAAGCACGTGCTCGCTTCCAGTTAGTTTGGATGAATTGCATTTCATTTCATTACATGAATGTTATAACGTGTATCAGACATTGGGGTCTAAATTACAATATTCTTCATGAACCAGATTTATTGCATTATTTGTGATTTGCAGTTTGTAAATATCAGGTTGCAAAATTTGCAGAATGAATCACAAACAGCAGTTGCGAATCCTAAATTGGAAGAGTCAGTTAAAACCCCATTGAGCAAAATGCTGGTTGTTTTACTTGCCAGCTTTTTTTAGAACTTTTGTCTACTTGATTCATAATTCACCAGCCACTAATTTCGCAATCCAATGACCATAATTTGGAAGTTTAAATCAACACAGCAAATCTAGTTTGCAACTATCACATTTAAACCCCATTGTTTGCATATTTTGTGGTTTATGCAAATACTGTATTACAGGCACACTGCATAGTAGCACACTGAAGTAAATTTTTACTTGGGCAGTCAGATCCTTTTATAACATACAGGTCTGTTTATTGCATATTTGTAACATGGATCCATAGTATACTGGAAATGCAATGCGGCTTTGGCTTCCATTGCTGAATGGCCAGCTTCCTGTGACCTTCCTGAAAATCATGCTATTTTCATTTAAGTGACATTTTAAGAACAAGTGATCTGGTGGGTTAATTAAATTTCTGAATACTTGCTGAGCCAGTTGTATTGATGTTGGCTATTTTTGTGGTTTAATGTCATAACAGCAGGAACAACAGGTTGGTGCAGTGCAACAGAGAACCAACCTACGGCAGTAGAGAAAGTAATAGGATCATGGCCAGGATTCCTGACGCTATGAATCTCCAATCTCAGATTCATAACCAACCAGTTTCAGTCAACAATGCATCTGGGGGTACCGTTGTCTCAATGCGGAAAAACAAAAAAAATCACAGCAAGAAATGCCATCACATTCAAATACACGGTTTTCAAAACTTCCATATCGCTGAACATATAATGACATGAAAAGTTAATCTATATTGATACACTGAATAGTACGTAGGTGAGATATGCAAAAAGGTACATCAATGCATCTCCTAGGGTTGAGACAATGCCTTAACTGTGAGAGCAAAGCTTGAGTGGTTTGTTAACATCATCTTATGGCTGAGATTGCCCTGTTGCATAATTCTAGCAGTTTTTGCCTTATACAATGTGTATAAATTGAAGATTTTCTTACTTTTAAAAAAGGACATCAACAAGAAACAAAGATATTATGATGTGGATGTGGAAGGCGAAGTGAAAGGTGTTATATAAACATAAATTGTATTGTAAATTGTTATATTGTGCTCTGAGATTGCTCAGGTTCTGCAATCAGGTGCTCGTAAAGTGCACACTGGGCCATGCAGATGTAGAAGGTTCCTGGAACAATTCTTGTTCTGTGTTGAGTTAGCTGGCATCAGCTGGCACAGCGAGCAAGGCATTATGATTGGCATCTGATCCTAAATCCATCTTCAGTGTTGAAAGTCTGCCAGCATAAGCTAAAACAACATGCTGATGTGCAATGTATGTGTTGTGATAAATGAATTGCTGATTTGGGTTTATAATCCAGCTAGCAGTTCCTTCCCAAATTGTGAGATTCATGCTGTCTCTTGGCTTGGCTCCCATTTGATCAAAGTCAGGAGCACTAGCCCAAGCTTAATCCCGAATTGGATCAGATCCAAGTCAGCAGTCTGAACAGGGCATTGTACTGGAGATCCCTGGGATTTGAACTGAGAACCACAGGGATGTGGATGAGTTTCTTTACTTTATCAGCACTTCTGCCGCTAGTAAATGTTGTCTGTCTTTTCATTCAATAAGGATAGGCTGCATCAAACGCAGATTAGATAGTTTTCTGTTAGGAAATAACATTACGGGATATAGTACATTGGTAGTTTGGGACAGATGTGCCAGCGTCCGCCAGGAAGGTGAAAGGCAAACTAGATGGACCTTGGTCTTCTTCGTCTAGCATTTCCTTATGTTTTTATGTTCTTATGTAAATTTGTGCATCTTTCACAGTTCGTCTCAATGTGCGAAATCTCATGAATTTGAGTGAAAAAATAAAGACTGGCAGTCATGCAAAGTCAAATGTCGTGACCTAATTGTACCTGAGCTGGTGAATTGAGGGCAATTAAGATTTCATTTTAAATACTTCAAACATTAGTCCGTGTTATTACACATAACATATTAGGAAACGGGAACACTGTGTGAGATTTGTGTTATACGTTTTCAAACCTCAACATGTCTATTGATTTGAAAGGCTTCATCTCTGCTTGTTAATTATTTGATTTACAATAACAACCATTTAAGTTTATGTAGAGCCTTTCACATCAGGGGGACATCTAAAGGTGCTTCATATAGCTGACTGGGAGTCTAGGTGGGTGGAAGGGATTTACAATATATATTAGAAAATAAATGTTTTGTTCTGGATTCATTTGAAGTGGGTATGATGGAGTAGCAGCCCAGCCTTAGTATAATTAAATCATTTTGGTGAGTTTCAAATGATGTACCAGCTAATATTTGGTAAAAGACTAATTTTCCTTGGAAAACAGAGACTTCAGCGTGACTTATACATATATATAAAAAAACTGCACAGAGAACTGTGTAGTGTAACTTAAGCTGATCAGCCTAACAAAAGGGGCATTGTCCAGAAATGGTTCTGGTTGAATTTGCCCTGTTTCATGAAAGAAAATACGTACAATGTTTTATACATCACACTTAAACTTTTTAAGAGTTTTATAACTTTGGCATGAAATTATTTGTTAAAGATTTCGATGGCATTATTTTCAAAATGAGAAGGGAGTATTTCATGGTGTCTAGTGGGACATTTATTTGTGAAGCTGCTGTGTCACCTATAAATACAGTCACCACATTTTACAGAAAACTCTGTGAAGCCCTTTGCAATATTTTTATTTGATAAGGCATTTATGTCAAATGCATGGATTATTATTAATCTTGCAACCCGTATACTGATTTCTGCTCTTTTTTGACACAGATCTGAGTCACAAGCCGAGTGAACAACCTATAAGTAAAAATAAGGCTGCAGCCAAACAGCAGCTCATTCAAACCACCAAATCAACAGCAAATGCCATTGTTGCAAGTACTCGCCGAAGGACAATGACCAAGACTACCCTCCCAACTACCCTTTCAACAACCACCACCCTCTCAACCACACTTTCAAGTATTCTTATGGTGAAACCCACCCTTCCATCAACAATCCCAACCATTAACTCTACCACCACTCAACCAATTAAAACCAAAGGTCCTACTACCAGCCAACCGAACACACCAACCACCACCCAACCAACTACAGCCACAACCACTATTCAATCAACTACAACAACAACAACCACAATCTCAACCACAATCACCATTCAACCAACTACAGCTACAACAACAACCCCAACCACAATTCAACCCAACCCAACCACAAACACAACCACTATTCAACCAACCATAATTACAACAACCACAACCACCATTCAGCCAACTACAACAATGACAACTGCAAACCCAACCACTATTAAACCAACCACAACCCCAACCACCATTAAACCAACCACAACCCCAACCACCATTAAACCAACCACAACCCCAACCACCATTAAACCAACCACAACCCCAACCACCATTAAACCAACCACAACCCCAACCACCATTAAACCAACCACAACTACACCCATGACCACCATTCAACCAACTACAACCTCAACCACAATTCCATCCACAACATCCACCAGTATACAACCAACTACAACTACAACTACGACCCTCCCAACTAAAAAAATGGCCACAAGGACCACTCAACGGTCCATTGTTGAATTATCAAGAATCCCAGATGCACATTCATCACTCAAAGGGATTTCAGCTGTGGTATCCACAACTGGAAATATTAGTAAAAAAGCCAATGGGGAAAATTCCCAAGACCTAGATTTGGGAAATCAGGACAACTCAGGAGGAAAACAGGAAGATCCGCAAATGGGGGTTAAGAGTGGACTAATAGCTGCTTTAGTATTTGGCATTGTATTTCTTATAGTAGTGGTCTTTATGCTAAGTAAACTAATAGTAGAATCCTACAACAGAAGACATTACACAAAACTTGATTATCTAATGAATAGATTGTCCATGGATGCTTAATCTTTACACAAGAACAGAGCTGGCTCTTCTCTATTCTTCCACCAACAGTTGTGCACTACAAAGAGCCAAAGACAACAAGCATCCACATCTGTGGCTTTTTTGGGGGAAACAGGATTAATACATTATATGCTTTAATATTATGAGGGCTGACTTAAATCTCTGCGAGTCAGTGTGAGGCTATGTGATTATGTGAGGTTGTGTGAGGCTACTTGAGGCTGTGAGGCTGTATGACCCTGTAGGTTCAGTGTAAATCGCTGTATATTTCACATTGGATGCACCACTTTTGACATGGAAAAATAAAGGAAGAAGAAACGGCTGGCGTGATGAAAGCAATTTGTACTCTCAATGAAACTGAGAGCAAAAATACAACTCAAACTCGTGCTGAATCTTACATTTTATTACAGTGTTGTTTGGTGCAGATAGAGCTGTAATGAATTCACTTTGCTTTCCTGGAATTGATCTGTATATTATATGTAATAGAAGTTTGGTGAATTCCACTTCTAATTTAAAAGAGATGAGGTAGAACGTCTGATCCAGTAACGTTGCTTATTTTTATTGCTATAAAAAAGTGCACGGATTACATTATATAAAAAAATGCACTTTAGCAAATTCTACTGAGCAGGAAAATGGTCATTCCCACTTGTACATAAGTTGAACATTCAGGAAAAGCAGTTCAATTTCAGAATTGGATTCAACTTTTAAATAGAGCACTTAATGTTGGCAGATCTTTGTTAAAAGAATTCCATTAGAAATTGCAATATTTGTAATCACTTATTTGTCATATAGTTATAGACAAATATTGCAATTTCTATTGGAATTCTTTAAGATTTTATTCAAATTTAGACAGAATTTGTTAAAACCCTGATGTACTGTGTGTAAGGATTTTCCAAAATAATTGTACAAAAATTCAAGGCAACGAACAAGATGGTATAAAACTTCAAAAAATATACAATCTTTGGATTGACTTGTTATATTTTATTTACACTCATCCCAATTAATATAACACAAATCCCATTTGGCGAGGGGAGTGCAAGCAACTTCAGTGTAATGGGGAGATCTTGTTTCAAAGGTAATTATACCAAACAGCGGAATTTCAATTCTAAATTTTACTAGAGATACGCTCATAGAAATGGTGAGAATAAAAGCAGAAAATATCCAGCATCTGAAGAGTGAGGTAAGTTAATTCTTCAGGTCTGACCCTTCAGCAGAACATTTCACTTGAAGGGTGGATTCCACTTGGTAATGCATAAACCAATTTCTTCATATCTTTCTCATCTTTTTCTCCATCCTTCAGCTCCGTTCCTCAGAGAAGCAGGCTTGGTAAACTCTCCAGTAGTCCCAGTGTTTCTATTCTTTATTGTATCCTACCCTATTTTATTGTATTTTATCGTACGGTAGTCTGGTCTTTTATTGTAGTAAAATGGTAAATAGGCACACATGTTATATTTTAGGGTGGGGGAAATTACTTATTTAATTGTTCAGGACAATTTTGATAGCTGTGTGGAAAGTGTCAAGAGTTCAGAATAGAGGTTTGGATAAAGAATATCTTTAGCCCATTTGATCTCATTCTTCCAGATACCCACCCTGCTATCCTGTCATCACAGCATCAAGTTGTTTCTTAAATATCATGGCCTCAGCCACTCGTAACGTATTCCAATTATTAATTAACTTCTGGGGTAAAGATAGTCCTTGTTTTATCACTTGTAACTCTTAGTACATCTTCCTGTATCACCGGCATTGTTTAGCCTCTCTACTGGTTAAAGGATATCCATTGCTTGACCCTGTGTTCTTGAAAATCTGGAAGGGAGCAGTTATTCCTAGATGGACTAGGTTCCAAAAGTCCAAAATTTCTCATACGACCAGTGTTTCAAAACTTAAGGTCACAGAGTTTGGGAAAATTCTTGCATTCTATCTTAATTTGGAAGCTGTTTTTCTATGGTTCTTAAAAAGCTGCGGATTTAAATGAAGAGTGAAGTTAAGACATGGGTTTAAGAGTGTCCTCCACCTACCGACCTACCACTAAAACTCTCCAAAACCGTACGCAACCTAGGAGTCAGGTTCGACCCCCAATTATCCTTCCCTACATCCGGTCCCTTACCAGCACCGTTTTCTTCCACCTCCGACGCATTGCCCATCTCCGCCAATACCTATCTCCAAAAGCCGCTGAAACCCTGGTCCATGCTTTTGTCACCTCTTGGCTGGACTATTCTAATGCCCTCCTCGCCGGCCTCCCCTCCACTGCCATTCATAAAATTCAGATTATTTAAAACTCTGCCGCCCACATTCTCACTCACACCAAACTGGCTGCCTGTCCCAGAGAGGATTGACTTCAAGATCCTCACCCTTGTCTTCGAATCCTTCCACTCCTCTGTACCCCCTACCTCTCTGACCTCTCTCCTCAAAACAGTGCCCGTTGCCTTCGTTCCTCCGGGTTTGGCCTTCTCCTTGTCCCCCAAGTCCTCCGCTCCATCCTAGGCGGCCGTGCCTTCAGCCACTATGCCCGAGGCTCTGGAACTCCCTTCCTCACTCCCTTCGCCTTGCTCCCTCTCTTCCTATTTTCAGGTCTCTGCTGAAGACCTTTCTTTTTGACCGCGCCTTTGGTCACCTTCCTCCCCCTCCCCCTGGCTCGGCCCCAGGATCCGTTACTGTGAAGCGCTCTGAGCTGCCGTCTGGCGTGGAGGGCGCTATATAAATCCAAGTTGTTGTTTTGAAATTCCAGGCATCTGCTGGCCATAGTGATACCCACATTTGATCAGTAGAGGGCAGGAACATTGCACTTTCAGTGATCTGCAATGAAAATAAATTGCCTTCCAAGAGTTACTGATAAGATTATACAAGGACAGAGTCTAAATATTTTGAAACTGGGAACTCATTTTCACTTAATGATTCATCTTTATCAAAATGACAAGATGACTCACTCAATGACTAATTTGGTCAAGGCCACTGTAACTTCTTTTAAGAATTACAGAAAACTAACTTCAACAATTTGTCGAATTCTGGACAGTATGAAATGTTAAGATGATTTATTTTGGTCAGCCGGGTGTCTGACACATGCGGAAACCCATCACCATGCTTAAGAGTATCCAAATCAAACTGAGAGTTCCATGCATCCCACCTCTACATGGAAATTGCAGAAATGTATATTGGAATGGAATGCGCACTCTCTCTCTGAGCATCCTGCTTACCTAAAGTTTTGGCTCGAGTTGGCAGGAGCCAAGGCTAAATGTTAAATCAAGAGCCAGGAAGAATTTCTCAAGGAAGGTCATAGTCTAAGATGAATTATCTTAAATCAGTCAGGCAGGAGAGTAAAAGTCTGAAATATGTCTCATTGTTCCTGAGTTGGGAAGGGGAAAGATGAACCAAGGTACTCACAATGGCCCATCCTGGAAAGTGCATGTTTATAGATGTTGCTTGATGAAAGGATTGGGTTCAGATATGATGCTCCTCACGATCGGTTAACCAACATTCACTGTCTGGCCTCAGACATAAGGAAACTGGCATTAGAAACCGGACTTGATAATTGTTGTTCTTGAAACCCACAATCCCCCCAACCCCCCCTCCATTAGAAAGGAGAAAGAAGAGTTTGTAGGGAACAGAAAATGAAACCAGAAACATTTCAGAAAACTCACTTCTCGTTTTTCTGCCCTGGTTTCGCCCACAAAATACACAATTAAAGTCAGTGTATTCTGTGAAATCTTTGAGACATCTCGAAGATGTGATAAAGCGCTATATCAAATGCAAGGAATATAAGGAATATATATATTATAGTTACATTACAGCAGATTGCTGGCTGCCAAGTTGCTTCATTCTACCGCCAGGTGGCAAACAAACCCAGGACAAATAGGAGAACAATTTGAGTGGCTAGATTTGCATTCCTAAATCAATGTAACTTAACAGTATATGTATTTAAATTCTGCCAAAATCTTTACACCACACTGAGATTACAAAGCGCATTTCAAAATAAAGAATGTAGGCTGGGGGATAGCCATGCGATATGTTAGATCTCAAATCCATGTCTGGGTCTCAAATGGGGTGGATGAACGTGGCTTCACAGCTGCACTTCCCAACAGGTTTCCATTCATAGCCACGCCATCATGTAGCGAGGTCTAGCAGAGGTCAGCCTGAAAGGGTGGGTTGGAAACTGCCTGAAAGGGTGGGATTGGTGTCAAGCTTGCAAGAGGTCCTGCTTGGAGGTCGAGGTCCTGACTCGGGAACGGGCTTTTAGTGGGAGGGGATCTCAGCAGAAGGAAACAACCGCATTTCCAAAACAAAGAAAACATGTCTCTGTAATGGAGCATTATCTGTTTTTACAGAGACGCTGAGGGTATTTTGGTTAGCTTTCATACATGCTCTCTTGTCGCAGTCTAACTCCCAAGCACTGCATTTCACTTCAAGGCAATCGAATTAACAATAGTGCAAAGAGAGTGATATCTCCCTTAACAGCACAAATCTGCCCACCAAGCAGCTGTGGTTTTGAGCTGCAGAGCTGAGCTGCCTATAATTCTAGTCTATCTTCCCCCTGATAAGTGTTTATTTCTTTCAGGTCGATGAAGTAGCTTAATTAGGTCTCGGCTGGGTTGTTAGATGGACTTGCTGTGCTATTTGGGGGAATGCTGGATCTCAGAGGCAGGGAAAACTGACACTGCTAATCTCGCTGCAAACGCTCCTCCTGTCAGTCAATTGCAAAGAGGAATCGTAAATCTTAGAGTACCTTGTGAACCATTCCATCCTCCTGCCAAGAGTGTTTCGTTGGGAATAATGGGGGGTGGGGGTGGTAGAACACAGGGATTAAAAAATCGCGCAAAATAAAACGTGGTTAATCTACACAGTGGAACCCATTTATATTGGTTCACATCCTAATCCACCTCGGATACTTGGTGAAGTCAGGACAATTACAGAAAATGCTGTTAATGACTAAATTCAGGATGAGATGCTGTGACAGAATGTACTCCAGTCTAGTTCACTTGGCTGTGTTTATTTCACTCTAATTACCTGTATAATAGAATACCAAAACAATGACATACGATTTTATTTTCTGGGTTTAAATGTATTTCCTCCACAAAATATACAGTGAATTCACTTTACAGTATATTCTGTGAAGCACTTTGAGACGTCCCGAAGATGTGATAAAGGCCTATATCAAATGCAAGGTTATTATTATTATTGAGTGCTGTAGGGAGCTTGAAGAAACATGCATTTGACATCTCCATTGTATTGCACCAACAGTGCTTGATACATTTCACACAGGGTATGCTGGAGAGAATTCTGCAGACTTCCACATCTGATTCGCATACTAACATTGTCACATTAAGTGTTTTATTTTTAAAATCTTCAGATGTCGTCTGTCCTTAATTTTGTGTTCTGCTTTTCCGGGTTTCAGTCATTTGATGCGGTTCTTTGAATGAATGGAGACACTGTGGTGAAAAGTTTAACTGTATATCTACTCACTAGAAACACACATGTTTTTCATATATATATATATAAACAGTAACATTTCTGCACACATTGTTCCATTTCAGAGCTATAAAATCAAATGATAAGGAATTTAATTAATTTGATCCTGTGGATGTGCTTTACCTTTAGACTGTAGTCTATGCACCATTACTTCTGCCAATATATAGGATTTAATTTCCAAGTGAACATTTGCCATGAGGGGGCTTGGACAGCGAGTGAGTGTCAGCCGGGTATTCTACTGTGGAAGGAGGGTAGGATAACCGGTCTCTCTTAAGGGAACCGCCCACCCACGCATTTTTCAGCAGAAACGCTCCTTTCCTCGTCACTGATGTCTCCCACTTAGATACAATACAAATTACAATGCAGGTTTACATTCATGTACCACCTCTCATGTTGAGAGAATGTCCCAGAAGGTCCAAGGTAATAATAATAATAATAATCCTTGCATTTGATATAGCGCCTTAAGGTGTCTTCGAGACACCTCAAAGCGCTTCACAGAA